TAATAGTTTACTTGAAGGACATAATCCGAGTTTATATTGCTGTCAAGCCTCCAGAAATAACACTTTTATCTATAGTTCAATCCCTTTTTTTTTTTTGTGTGTGTGGGTAATGGTTCTCCCAAACATGGTTGTTATAGGGACGCTGCGTAATTAAAACAAATAATCATACATGATGGAACATATACACAAGGGAAACTCTGGTATTTAACACCCTGAAGATATTGAGGCATCTGACAATTTGGTAATAGAAAATAGACTCGACCTAACAACGCCTTCAAGTCGGTCTAAGTTTCGGTGCGGGTGGTGTCATGAGATTTTGGTGAATATAATTGATGCAGATTTTGCACTGAAGGTGTGCCTCATAATCCAGTGTGCCTTTTAGTGTGGAAAATACGGTATGTATATTAAAATAAAGATTAATATTACAATAGTTTCAAGAATTACTTGTGCAACTCTTCTTTGTGTGTCTGTGTGTGTGTCTCTGTCTGTAATATAGTGCCCCCTGGTGGCCCAGGAGCACACACCAGAATGCTTGACTCAGGACAATGTTGCATGCATCGCTACGTTCGGGTAGAAGCGGAGCGCGATTTTAAACGCCTCATAGGTTCCACCAACCATCGACTTAGGCCTGTTCGGACAAAATCAGTGCCGAACTTGTTGGCCTGCATTCCAGTTCCCTTTCTCTATCACCTCTATTTGACAAAGCTCAGCTTTTTAATAGTCACTCCCTTTTGAATCTCTTCTCAAACAACATATTCACAACAGATGCCATGAATTAAAGCGCCCACTCGATCTTCTGGCATTTTACAGTGCAAATAAAAGGTGGTGGCCCCGACAACAGGACCCCCGATTCATATGTTAACCACACTAATTATTTGCATACTACCCCCCAATTATAAAAGCTAATGAGAAGACTGTGGCGTAGGCGCACTGAGGGATTTCCATTGTGTCACCGACAAGGGGCCCCGGGAGAGGCTTTTGTCAAAGTCGCACTCTGGCTACACGTTGCGGTTTCAAAGTACGGTTTGAACACATGATTCAGGTTGAAAAATCGGAGTAGACAAGGGGAAGGGTTTTAAATTAGAGTTTCACACAAAGGTTAGGGTTTCAAACCAGGGTAAGGGATTCAAATTCAACTTCCAGGTCAAGGCTCGGTTATCAAATTAGGATTTTAAGGCTTGATTTTTATAGAAATAGTGCAAACGACCGTGTTCCCTCAAAGTAGTACAATGGAGCAGCGATATAAATAATTTGAAAAAAAAAAAAAAGATTTGCAATGAATAAGGCAAGTTCTTGAAGTCTTTTCCACTTTTTTTTTTCTTTTGTCATTTTCCGCCAGAAGATTCAGACATTTTCCATCCAAGTACCCATTTGACTCGAAATCAACTTTACATGATGGCCTCATTGTTGCAAAGGCTTTTTTTTCCAACAAAATGTTCCCCTTCTGGATTCAAGCGTTGCCCTCCATTTGGCACAGCAGGCTTGCACGGTGAACCTGCCCCCC